AAATTTTAGTTAAAGCTATTGAATTAATTTAGAGCACAACTAAACAAAGGATTAATTATGACCACGAATTCATAAGTTTAAATTGCATGCCTACCTCGAGATTCCTTGCTTTCACTCTTTGTTCTGGAACTTCAAAACACGGCAATCAATCACATCCGCATTCCCGCAAATCTGAAAAAAATATCCAGTGCTTTTATGTAGCGAAATTGCACCAATAGCTTCGCTTTATGTCTCAAATCTCAATTCAGATCGATCAACCTAACTTAATCCTGTAATAAGAATGAATTAGAATTTCAAAACATAAGAAAGGAAAGTGACGAATTGGCCACATATACATAAAATAAGGCAATAGAGTAAATTAGAGCCATCCTTCGTTGATTCCAAAACACAATTCACATATATACATGATTAAATGTGAAATTCTTTGATTTTTTAAGCTTACTCCTGCCTCTCTCTGCTGTAACTAGCAAGCTAAACCTTTTAGAGTAGGCAAGACATTAAAACCCTAAACTCTTGAATTACAAACTAAAATACAAATCGACACCTCAGTGGTCCATGAGGAATAAGTACAGAAAAAAAAATTCGAGCATGAACAGAAAACTAGTTTACAAAGGACAAACCATGTTTAACATCAGCACTATAGCAGTGAAATAGAAAGGTTTAAAAACAAACCTTGCTGGAATAGAAATTTGCTCCGGCAGTGGATCTCCTAGCACACCAAAAAGGTTGGATACAGGGGTTCTTCAATCAATATTGAGAGGAAAAGTAAAAAAAAAAAAAAAAAAGATGACGGCGCGAAATCGCTGACTGACGAAGATGGTTACACCAACTATTTCCCTCTTCCGCCAATTCCCTCTTCTGCCAAACTTATTCCCTCTTCCACCAAAATTTTTGGTCTCAAAATTGGTATACATATAATTTCGGCGCTGGGACGGGGGTTAATTATTTACTAAGGCTTGGGAAAGAGGAATCATTGAATTGAATTGGTTGATTCACGTGACTCTACTTCATTAAAAAAAAAAAAACTGAATGGATTTGCGATAACTTTGTGCCAGGAGAGGAATCATTGAATTGAATTGGTTGATTCACGTGACTCTACTTCATTAAAAAAAAAAAACTGAATGGATTTGCGATAACTTTGTGCCAGGAAAGAATACTTTGTTTTATAATAATTTTAAATTTGTAATTTGGACCAACTAAATATTTCATTTCCATTTTTGACACCTATTTTTATTATAAATGATACCATTATGTTTCATGATATATTTTTATGCCCATTATAGTCAGATTTATTTTTCAATTATACCCCTAACCAAAATATTTACATTTTTTTTTCACTTAAACAAACACGAATACGTTCACGTTGTCTAGAAAATATGTCGAGTACCACTTTTAATCTATAAAAAGGATTAAGTATCCCTTTGCTTATAGTTTATGGAAGGCTAGTTAAAATTACGCTACATCATATTTCACTGAATTCACACTCAAACTAGCTATCCAAAGCTTAAGTTGTACTCCCCCGTCCTTAATATAAGATATTTTAATTTGTTTTAGGCTTCACTTTGTACGTTGAAAAATTTTAATTAACGAAAAAACCTTAAAAACATTTCCTAACAATCAAGAGATCACAACGGATGTGAAAATATATTTTTAAAATTTTTTCGTTAATTAGAAATGCGTACTAGATGAAACCTAAGATAAAATAAAAATGCATTATATTAAGAACCATAATGAGTATTTGTTACTTGTTCCTCTAATTTGTATTATATTATAGATTTTAGTCAATACTTACTCAGTCCAAAATTATTTTCCTATTTAAATTTTTATTTGTAATATAAATAAAATGAAAAGTGAAAATGCAAACTAAAAATTTTCAAAACAGAGAGAGTATTATAGAGGCATACACAACAAATAGGAGTGTTAAGTAATTATTACCTTTTTTACTCTATACACATAATTTTATACTCTTTTTATCTCAAAATGATTTTCATGCTTAGATTTTTACTTGCAGTATAAATTTAATTAAAACTATGTGTAGTGTGCATAGATAAAACTTGAACTCGCATTTTTGGTTGTTGCAGTAAATGGAGTATAGCATATAAATAGTACATTCTACAGATGATAAGAACCAATTACATCATGCTATATACATTTCGTTGGTTGAATAAAAAATATATATTATGGTTATTTTTTATTTTTAAAAAATAGATCTTCTGTCTAAAAAAAAACACATTCAATCTTTGGAGTTGAATTAAAACTAGTGGAAAATCTCAAAAGTTTACTCATTAACCCTATACTTTTCATATGAAAAAAGTCATCTCCCAAATTGGATTTTTGCCTTAATTTGATATATACATTATGGTACCGTGAAATAGATTCAAAAGTTATAGGAAGATCAGTGATGTAGTCTCTCTGATATAAACTTTTTTCAATCATTTAAAAAAAAAATTAATTTGCATATAACTATACATAATGATAATAATCTCAAAGAAAAATCACTAGCTTTTCTCTTTCTCTCTGATTTTTTTTTCTTTTCTTTTATTTGTTTTTCGGCGGGCAGTAGGTCAGAATTCTAAAACATATCTTACTATATTAGAAACAAAAACCACACTTAAGAGAAAGCACCACCATTTGCCATGTGGCATTTCCACATCATATTTTTAAAATAAATCTTTATTTTCACATCTCCTAGACTTAAAAGGCAAATGCACTCCAAATTCACCTCCACCTCCTATTTTTATCCAAAAAAAAAAGACGGGTTCATAAAAAACCCAAATCCTCATCCACATCTCCACGACAATCGACTCCCTAATCAATCCCTCCTCCACAATAGAAAAAAAAAACAAATTTCTCATCAATCATCAATTGAGAATATGTAGTAAAATATACTCATTTTCTATTAGCATGTTCAATCTTTTCATTAGTGGTGATCAACTACATCCTGATCAGATAAAATTTCGACTTCAAAAAATATTCTCTTTACCTTTCTATATAAACACAAAGGAAAAAAAAATTCTCATTGATCTTGCTTCGGCCGTTGTGGGTGCAATTACAGGTATTAAAATTTAAATCATTTTATTTCCATAGATCATTTGTTTGGTTTTTATTATTTTTTGTTTTCCCCGTTTAAGAATAGTGTTATTACTATTATTTTTATGCGTCAATCCGTTACAGCTACCGTAGCCGTTGTCAGGTAATATGATGTGATTTCTTATATAGTTAGTTAGCCTAGAAGTTTTGTATGATTTTAATTCTGTTTGGATTGAATTGATTAATTGAGTTTTTGTTACAAAGTGTGGTTTTTTAAATTTCTTTTTAATGTTTCATTCAATTAGAGTGGTTTTCTTTTTTTAATTATGGAGTCTCAGTTTTTTTTTTTCGTATATGATCAGTTACGAAGTGTGTTTTTTCTTTGTTTAATTGTTTTTTATTTTTTTTCATACTCCCAGTTGACCAATTATTATTATTATTATTTTATCTCATTGCAAATAAAGTGCGTTTTTTTTTTGTGTTCGGGCTTTCAAGAATATACTTTTTGAATTTTGGTTTTTGGACTTTTTTTAGTTTCTCATCATCTAAATAGTTCAGGTCGCTTCTTCTAACTAATTTCTGAGGAAGCCTTTTATGAATTTGAGGCGGAGAGGGAAAGAATGATGTTTCTACGTTTATTTGTATTTTTATACAACATTTTTACCTACAAAAAAAAATTTCTCAATTTTAAATGGGCTATCTTTTACTTTCTTTTTTTTATTTGTAATGGTGAGGTGAGTTCTTTTTTAGTATAACTTGAAACCTATGCAAATTTACATTATTTTCATTCTCATATTTGTGATCAACCAATTTCATCAATTAACCAGTTTTAAAATCATATTTTTGATATTTTACTACTTATAAACTTTTGGAAGAAATAGTTTCAACAATTAAGCGTATACCTTTGGGAGGAAGCTTACTACAAAGCTATTATAAATCTTCAAAACTAAGTATTGATTTGGCATAATCGGAGAACATCAATAAATTATCTTACTAATATTTAAAATTATGAGGATACTTTTATATTTTGTCTAGCATTTAATTCAAGACATATATTTGATCAAGTTTATTTATATTTAAGAAGTAACACTTATAAAACATTTCTAAAACGTACCGAGTCAAATACAATTTCTTTTTATACCAAATACAAACATTTCTATGATCACACTTATAAAATATTTCTAAATTTTTCAAACATTTCTAAAATATATCGGGCCAAATATAAAATAATTTTTTTTCAGATACAAACATTTCTAAGATGTACATATATATTGGGCCAAGGTCGCGCATTGCGCGACCAGACATCACTAGTATACTTAGATGAAAATATGAAAACCGCCAAAAAGATCAAAAAATGCAAAAACTTCCGCGCCTTCTTCTTCTTCGGATAGATGACTCCCATCATCACCTAAAATTTCTCCCATCAAATCAGCACATATGCTACATCCAGATCATGTATCGATATCATATATATACATGTCCAGTGCAAACACTTACTCTGCAATTGGGAATTGGTGGGATCTTGATTTGGGTATTGGTGGCAACAAGTGATAAGGTGTTTTATCTCCTTTTCCAATTTATGTGGTCCGATTGTGCTTTTCTCCCTTGAAAACATCATGCATGTGTGATTGGTTAACGTTTTGAACTATTTGATGGAGTACGAGTGAATTGTTATATGGTTATGCTTGCAAGTTATATGTGCCTTCACTTAGAAATACTGTAGGTGTTTGATAATTGGCACCAATGAAACCTAACTTCCTTGCACCTTTTAATTAGTTTTGTTTCTCCGTACGTATATTGGGTTGAATTAAGAACCTTTCTTCAGATCTGAATGGGAATAAAGACAGAATTTTATTATAACCAAAATAGGATTTCTAACTTGAAGCATATGTGCGTGCATCTTTTTGTTCATTTAAAATCTTGTTACCCAAACTAACAGCTCACTAATTTTTTACCTTCATGTTGCAGCTATGTCTGGAAAAAGCCGAAAACGTAAGCAAAGTAATGTTACTCTTCGAGATGAGCCAATCTCGCAACCCGAATATGAGCCGATCTCACACGCACACCGAATAACTGAAACAGAAAATGATCCTCACGGTAAAAATGTTCCGAATCAAATACTAGATCAAGGTGCTTTGCATTTTTGAGTTTCTTTCTTTTTATTTAGCTACTAAGTACAACTTCTTTTTATGATTCTTCTGGACACATACCGCAGGTTTGACTCGAAAGGATTCTTTGGGAAGCAAAAGCAAATTTAGATCTCGAAAGGAGTTTGGACTTCATCGTATGACTAATATTGATGAACAAAGCCATCAACAAGGTAATCCAAAATAAATTGCTAGCATAGAATTCCTGATTATGAATCTATACATTGGTCACCTTCAATTGTTATTTGAAGGTGTTAATTATGATTCTTTCTTATAATTGATTGAGTGAGCTGTCCGAAATATTTGGTACCACTTGTAACTAAATATGAATGAAGGAAGAAGGCGATGATGTATTTGCTCTTGTCGTAAGGATGGGAAACTTGAAAATACAGAGTATTATTTGTAGTCAATTTTTAATTCTTTGGCTCCTTGTTCTATATATAGTTGCATGTTATGTTTAGTTGCTAAAGTTTGTTGTAAGAAGCATGTAAATGATTTATTGGCTGTTTGGAAATATATGTTTAAGACTTGAACTAAAATGAAGGGAATCAATGAGTTTAAGGAATTCGATGATACAGAGTTGAGAAAATCCAGATGGCAGTACTTTTATGAGGTGCTCAATTATCACATCTTCGGATTGTTTCTGTACATACATTTTGTACCAAATGCTTCCTAGATTACCAAGGCTTGTTTCTGATTTTATGTTTTATCAAATGGCTTGATGGATTTTTAAAAATATGGGTTCAAACAACACATGTTGCTGGCTGTGTTTTAAAACTGCAGAAAATCAGATTCGGGCATGACTGTTGAGCGGCTCATTTTTCCTATTTATGAACTCTTTTATAAGATTTCTTCATATAAATATATTCTATATTTAATATAATTTATTTTAATTTTTACGGATTGATAAACGGACTTGTAGTTTGTCCGAAAATCTCATTTGAACATGACATGTTCATCACCAAAAATGCCGAAACTTTCAGAGCAGACCTCTTCTGTTAACAGGTCTATATCTCTTGTTTTTTTAACTCTTTTTCAGAATTTCTTTTGGCAAAACTCTTCTTCATTGAGTGCCGTTCAATGTGGTTTTTACGGATTTCAAAACGGAGTTACGTATTGTTCAAAAAGTGAGTTTAAACAAGACATGTCTATCGCTTAATTTTTGTCGGAGCAATTTGGTTTCGCCTTCTGTTTTGGGAGGCTCTCTTCTTTTTAATTCTGAACCTTCTTCTCTGAAATCTTGGATAAAACTCATCTCTGTTTGAGCTGAGTTAATATTGTTTTATCACTTTGCAAAAATAATTATTCTTCTTTTTTTTGTGGTAAATTTGTGTCTTATTATTTCAGTGGTTAGAACAAAAACTCAAGTGGGTAGTAGAGTTTATAGTGGACATATGGACTCAAGTCAAACTCCAAATAGGGCAGCACATTACGGTCATAACATTGGTACATCAAGCATTGTGTTTATTTTGTGTCATGTTTGGAACTTTTTATTATATTTTCCCCCTTATTTATGTCGAACATTTGGGCATATTGTAGCTACAATGTTGATTGTGTTAATTTTATCTCCTATGAACATATATTATAGGCTTGACTCGGAAGAACCCTATGGTCAACCAGACCAATCTTAGACTTAGGGAAGAGTCTGAAATCCATCATAATCTTAGTACTCATGAAATAGAACATGAGCAAGGTAATGTAAAGTGAATTTGTATGCACTTTTTTTAAACTTGCAAAAAACTAATGTAATTGTCAATTGTTAAGGTATTGAAAGTGATTCTGAAATTTCTGAAACTGAAACCCATGGTCCAACATGTATGAAAAGTATTTGGGGTCGGCCTCTTCACCTTTCCAAAATTCATGTTGAGTATAATGACAAGGTTGATCCTATTGATGGCGAGTGCAGTACGCTTAGTCATTTTTTGGGTTCAATAGCAAGGAATTGTCAGTATTGTCCAATTAGTGTGAAGGATTGGCTTAATATAGAGAACAAAGATGAGATTCTTGATATTGTGAAGGTAATGATTGACTTGGATACTTTAATATGTTGTTTCAATTGATCTTGATGTCTTTACCCTTATTTTGGAGTATAATGATTACCTATATATCGCAGTTACGATTCCATGTCCCTCGCATTGCGGAAAAAAAGATTTTGAGTTCTGTTGAGAAAAAATGGAGAAGTTGGAAGAATCGACTAAAAGCTAAATATTGGTATGAAGCTTCAGTGGAAGTTTTAGTGGACCAAAGGGATGCTAGAGTTACCGCTGTCGAATGGATGAAGATTTGTACTTACTGGAATAGCGAGGCCGCAAAGGTTTGTGGTATTTTTCAAGTGGATACTGATTACTTTCATGTCTTGATTTGACTTGTTTTGAACCTGATTTCAGAAAGTGAGTCGAAATAGAAAGAATGCTAGAGCCAAAAGGGTGAATGATCAAAAAACTGGGCAAACTTCCTTTGCTTGAGTTGAATATAAAATGGTACTTTGTTTCATTTGTTTTACTTTCTGTTTCATCATCATCATCATCATCATTATTATTATTATTATTATTATTATTATTATTATTATTATTATTATTATGTTTTGTGTTTTAATTAATAATATTTTATTCGTAGACAAAGAAAAATGGACAACCCCAAACCGTGTTGAGTTGCTTCGTGCATGCTTCTTAAATCGTAATGGGGACTCCAATTGCACAAGAAACACAAATGTAAGTCTAGATCAATCATCTCTAGTATTTATCATATGTAATCTATAGCAAATTTATATGTTTTTTGTTTAGGGAAATATGCAGGAAGACACCAATAAATCCCAAGAAGATGTTGATGATCCAATTGATGAAGATGATGATCCAATTCATCAGGATGATGTATTTGCTCAAACCATTGGGCAAGACCAGTCTACCATGCAAATGACTAGTAAAGAAATTAGCCAATCAAATACTCGCGAGACAACTCAGAATACATCCAAGCGTTTAAGAATTGAGGAACAAGGTGACGCTGGACAACAATCTCTACACATTAATGTTCCCCAAACCAAAAAACAGCAATTCCCACTCTTAAGGTGATTATTCTTTTTCAACCTTTTATTAGTATGCCTCAAATTTTCATATGCATTGCCATACGATCCTATTGTTTCATAAGTATAACAAAGATGTTTTGATATTCTTATAAGGTTGGATCATATGTTTCTCTGAAAAGTGTAAGTGATCCCACAAAAATTGTTGCTAAAGGATCCATTGAAAGCATGGACCCAAGTAAAGATGTAGGCGGACACATTCTGGGTCCAAATTGGTGCGAAGTATTTGTGACGGTGAGCATCGTTCATGAAGAACATTTATTTAGAGGTTATGGTAACTTTCAAAAGATTGGAGATGTAATGGGGGAAATGATCGCTTGGCCATGCACCTTCGTATGTTTCTCATCCTTCCAAATCATGTTGATACTTTAAATTATTTTATTGTTTGTCTTGCTTCTTACATCTCTTCACAATAATTGTGTAGGTAACAGAAGAAAACTAAGGGCTTTAGCACCATGTGGTCTCCTGTTTTGGAAGCTTCGGAAGTCGACATTTTCGGTTGAGTTTTAGAATAAAATACTTTTAGTTCTTTTTGTTTCGAATAAAGTTTCATTCTATGAAAAGCACTCATAGATAATTTTTAAATGTACACTATCTTAATATTATATTATAGTTGACTAATTTCAATGGCATCCATATGTTTCCATCTATGTTTTTTTTTGTTTCATATATTATTATATTGATAAATTGAATTCTTTATAATGATTATTACGAATATGAACAAAAAGCAAATAAAAATAATTAATCAATAAAATATTTTTGGTTTGGTATATTATTGTATTAATAAATACTAATTTGTATGATAATTATTACGAAATATGAACAAAAAGTAAATAAAAATAATTAATCAATAAAATATAAAAATGTAAAACTAAAAAAATCTTTAATATAAAATTTAGCAAAAGAAAGTGTACTAAAAAGTACTCTTTGTAGACATTCCAAATGTCCTAAAATATTAGGTTAAATGACACGGTTAAGTGACTTTATATAATATCTGTTGAAATACCTATGTGTGTCACCACAATATATTTCTTGAGACACCAATCTGTTGCCACATTGGAATAGAATACACTTATTGAAAGTGTCTTATTAATTGAAGTGTATTAATACCCACTATAGTAAGACATTATCAAATGCCTCTATAGGGGGGTTTTCTAGTAGTGTGCTAACCCCGTCCATCCTTTCTTCTCTTTTCTATTATACTCAATAGCCTCATGCGTGAGCAAAATATTCTAGCCAATATATCTACCTAGCATGAAGCCATTTTTCCCCTCCGCGATAAAAGAGGGAAGAACTTGAGTTGATTTGCAAGAACTTTCACCACTATTTTGTACTTAATGTTGCATAAACATCTTGGGCGAAAGTCAGATGGAGACTTGGGATTGTCTTTTCTTGGGATAAAGATGACCTTCATTTGATTCCAATCAGCTTCCCAGTGACCGTGATTCGAACATTCAAAAGAACTTCCCCAACATCATCTCTGATTGTCGACCAAAATTTTTGATAAAATCCTGCCGGTAAACCATCAGGACTCGGTGCCTTCCATGCGGCCATATTTTTAACTTCTTGCTCAATGTCTTGCATTGTGAATGTTTGACTGAGCATGTGACTCTGCTCCGGAGTAATGACCTCTTGCATGAGACAGATTAAAGAGTTACCTAAACTTACAGGCTCCGAGTATGAGGGATATTCATCTGCTGCCACTAGTACCTCTTGGAAATATGTTAGCATTTGCTGTTGAATCTGTCCCTGATCATATGTCCATACTCCATTTGAATCAATTAACGCACCAATCCAGATCTTTTACTTCCTCTTTGTGGTCCATTTATGAAAATATTTCGAATTCCTGTCTGCTTCGTTGTTCGAGGCTGTCTTTGCTCTCTGAGACCAGTAATCATTCTGAAAGAGCAGCATTCTCTCAAGCTCCTCCTTATGTGCATCAATTTGCTCCCGATTGTTCATAACTCCCTCACCCAGTTGTAGCTTGTGAAGTCTCTCTGTGTATCTCCTGACCTTTGGGTCTAATGCACCAAATGACTATTTAATCCATTTTGAGAGATGCTTCAAATAGACCTCCAACCTTAGAGAGACATGTCTAAGGTCATTTCCAGAGGTTCGAGGCTGGTCCGATGTTTTTTTCACAATCTCAAACGTTGCCGGAATCTTGGACCAAAATGATTCAAAGGGAAGAACTTTTTGACTGTTTCTCGGTTGATCTTGTCTTGGGTGTAACAGAACCAGACCATGATCTGAAATACCTATCGGTAAATTCAAAACAAATGCTGGGGGAAAAGATGGAACCAACTGTAATAGGCAAAGGCTCAATCTAGAAGTTCCACAATCCTTCCCTTTCTCTTTGCGGTTATACGTCCATGTGAATTTGTTTCCTCGAGAGGGAATTTCTGTCATACTGAGTTCATTGAGAAGATCCAGCAATAACGGTGTCTATTGTTCTCTGAATCTGCGACCCCCTCCCACCCCCGGGGTCCCCTTATCTTCTTGCAATAAAATTTGGTTCAAATCACCTATTAAAATCCAACAGAGCTCGTACTATGAAACGACGCTTCGAACTTCATTCCAAACAGATGATCTTGACGCTTGATCTGGGTGACCATAAACAAAAAGAGACCCCCCAATGAACCCCAAAGGCATCAGACATCCTGGCAACAATTACATGCAGTGTTTTTTTCTAGTACTTCTAAAGTCACACTACTAGACCAAAAGAGAGCTGGCCCCCTAACCGTATGATTGACATCAACTATAGCTAGCTTTCTAAAACAAGTACTATCCATCCATCTAGCCAAAATACTACTGACTACCTTAGTTTCCTACAGGAATAAAACATCAAGTTTGTAAGAGCAAAGAAGATTCCTGATGTGTTGTTTGGTAGGCAGCCAATTAAAGCCCCTGCAGTTCCATGAAAGGACTCTTATGGGTGCTCGGGTGGTTGATTTGGTTCAACCACCGCAAGACCTTGCTCTGGATTATGTTGTGTTGAGTTCATATTATGGATTGGATCAGGGTGAACATTTAAAACATTCCCAGTCAATCGGTACCTTTCCTCCATGGCCTTACCAAGTAAATCAATCAAAAGATCAGCCCCTCTACCATACTTACCTTTAAGCTCTGGAAGTACTTCCTCGCTCCTAGCTCGTTTAGGCCCATTTTTGACACTGTCTTCAGAGTTGTCAGAGCTGCCAATGCAGATCCGAGAGAAATTGGCATCAAGTCTCAGTCGTTTATGCCCAACACTCTCATTTAAACCAGCGGAGCTAGCAATGTCAGTAGGGGTACGAGTCCGCTTCCTAGAAGATCTGTCCCTGTACAATCTATCACCAACATCTACATGTTGACCTTGACTTGGGTGACTACTTTCACCACCTGTAGCCTCACAGACAGTCACATGAGGCCTACAATCAAATAAAGTGGCTGCAACCAAAACTGTTTCTCTTCTCTGTTTTTTAGATACTTTTCCAAGAGCACTTTCTTGAAAGGGTGTTTTCCTTGGCTTGGTAGAGAGAAGGCACATGAATGGGTAAGTTTCTCTCCGTGAAAACTGAGAGGGTTCAGAGATCCTTCGCTTTTTGGCTGCGGTGCACACTACAAGAGTTTGTTGATGATGTAAAGTTTCAGCAAAGCTCCTTTCCCTATGTTGATCCAATGACTCTAGATGTGCACCCTCCAAAAACTCAGTCTTAGCACTTATACTAGGCACAGTAAAAACAGAATATGGAGCAGATCCAATTAGTCCAACCTTCCTTCGTTTATGAGTGCCACTCCATTGTTTAACAACACTAGTCATGCCGTCCATATCTATAGGGTTGAGAAAATTCACTTTCCATCTCCGAGTTCCTTCGCTTCTTAGACTTAGCTAGCAGTTCAAGATGAAAATTCTGCCCAAGTCTATTGATTATTTGAGGATTCCTTGTGCACAACGCAAACATGGTTCTCTAGCGCCTTGTTGAATTTAAATCCGTTCAAAACCATTTCATCCCTGAGACTCGTCGATTCAAACAAAGACTTCGGTTCAAATTTTGAGGAGAATCTAAGCTTTCTTTTAATTGTCTATTTAACTGAACACCTAGATATTGGATGTCCCATTTTCCTACACCTTTGCCAGACTTTGAAAATTCCTTCGTATGAGCAGTGTAATAAAATCCAGCGATAAGAGATTGGAAAGATTTTATCCATAATCTAACTCTAAGAAAACTTGCTTGATTCGCTTCCAAAACAAAGCCACCTACTGACTCTAGTTCTCCAACCCCTGCTACTAAATCCAACCATGTTGAATTTTTGAAGTATTCTAAAGGGGGACCAAAGAATCTGATCCAAATTAAGATTCTTTCTACCCAAAGATGCTTAAGAAGAAGTTTCTGGTGCCATCTACGAAGAACTAACAAGACTCCATCAATAACATTGGGACCTTTTTGTAGGATTGATAGAAGATGCTCCAGCTTGGTGAATTTAAAAATGTAGAATTTCTAGGCTTTGTGTGTAACAAGTACAGACTTATCCCAGTTTTCCCAAACAAAATTTTGCATTTTTGTCTCCGATCATCCATGAGACGACCGATCAAACAGAGATGTCCAGTAGTACTCGTATAATTACTAAATTTCAAGAAATAATTTATCTTTTACATTTCAACTCTAGGTCATAAAAATATAAAAAGTTACACAGTTAAAAAGTGCAATCATTTATCTTTGTCATGAAATTCAGGTTCACACGAAGAAAGGCTTACGATGGATACCTAGGCACCCAGAGACAAGGAAGGGCATCGGTTTAGCTTATGATGTCGTTGGAAGTCCTAGGCCAAACGAGTATTTCACAGTTCTCATCGACTATGATTATCTAACAACACATTTTTAGAGACCAAGAACTACGAGATCACTCCTTTCATTCTGGGATGACAGAGGGATCGTATTATTTGAGCCATTTTTTTCATGCTTTTCCCGAAGGTCTAGAGAAAGCTACAATCAATAGATAACGGCTATCCTCTAGGATAGAAGGATTCGAAACTCTGAATAGCGGGACCAAACGATAGTCTGGACTTAGGGTTGTGGTGCAGAATGGTGAGACTTGCGTGTGTTTGGTGGTTGATAGTGGGAGTTACGTTGGGATCGGTCGACCCTGAATCTAGAGCTGCTTGTTGTTCTAACCCGGTTCCAACAATGCATTTCTCGGAACTAGAAAGTGGAATTGTTGGTTTTCTCTTGCTTTCGGCATAGCTGGCTCCAGTGGGAGGCACAACGGGCTATTAGCTCAGCTCTACTTTTTGATGGATATTCCAGGGAATGCTTGATTGCAAAGGGAAATCATCTGTCTTACCGCAGCTGCTGGCACAAAGTTAGCCAGTTTTTGTTCTCCGGATACTGTCAAAGGTTGACAATAATTTGTTTCAAAATTAATCTCGTCAGGACGAAGAAGAGTCAGAAGAAATGGTTCGATCCTCTTATCTTAATTTCTCGCCTATACTATTTTGCCATTGAAAAACTAACAACTATAATTATTAAAAAGGAGTGAAAATGACGAGAGATACATTCACAGAAATTCATCATTGTGGACTAATTAAATTAGCATATTTTTTTTATTCAAAATGATTTTTTAATTTTTATTAAAACGAACAAAATAATCATTTTAAATAGAGTGAGTAAAATCAGTATTTCGTAATTAACATATGTATTTCAGGTTTTTTTTTCTCTCTTTTTGTGGATGAAAGTCGAATTCCATTCCATTTAGATGAGAAAATTATGTACATCCTCGGTTATGTCCTTACAGGATTTACAAAGCTGCCACGTGTTCAAGTATTAATTTTGGACTTCTTCTCCAAAACTGCTCCTCCTTTCTATTGCATTAAAAATTTTATGTCCAAAAATTTGCTTTGATCTTTCCTCTTTCTTGCTATCGACCGTCTATCACCATCGTCTTCAACCACCTCTGTTTAGGGGGGGGGGGGACGAAAAACATAGCTTTCTTCACCTCTATCTTTCCTTTTACTATCATCGCTGTTTGATTTGTTCTTAAAGCCAGGGAAACGATAAATATCACATTTCCTTTTGCTATCGCTGTTTTCTGATTGGTGCTTAAAGCCAGGGAAACGATCTCAATTGCCAGGGTGCGAAGGTAATCATCGACTTGTTGCGCAGTTGAATAAGTTTCTTCATTATTCTGATTTGAGCTTTTATTTGGCTTTGTTATTATGTCATATTTGTTTTGGAGGTCATCTGAACTTGATATGGTTGTCTAGATTTATTAGATTTGAAGATATACATGTTTAGTATACTGGAAGAGAGTAATTGGAGTTTAATTTTACATCGTAGCTTGATTGATTTCATGTGTTTTAAGTGGTTGCTTTTATGTCGTTTGGGTAGAAGCTCAGTTTATTTATTAGAATGTGCATGCTAAGTAGTTAATTGTTAGTGTAAAATTAAAATGAAAAAAATTGTATACTAGTTCTGGCTGATATGTATCTTACTTAGTGTCGTTAGAACCATAAATTAGTAGCTTATTGCTTCTTTTGTAGTAGAATTCATTATGATTGATGATATTGTTTAATGTCACAAGTCCAGTCATCCAGTTCCACTAGCATGAATCTACTTGACTTTTCACATTCGACAAACATGCCTCCATCTTTCCCATTTGATATTTAGTGAAAGACCCCAAATGAGATATCCAGATTTGGTCTAATCTACAAAATTCACGCACAACGATGGTTAACGGATGTAATGCACGACTATGGCACATAAATTAATACAAACGTGTTTATTTATTTATTCACTTGGTTAGCAATTTCCATAGTTGAATGAAGTTTTGTAGCATGCATGCTTATTTGGTTGACAATTTTCATAGTTGGATGAACTTTTAGAGCTTGCATGCTTTACATTTATATCTTAGGTGTATGTTTCTGTGAGCAACTTTTGATAGAACAGTTACTGGTTTCATGTGTTCTAATCTACGCTGCTATTTTGAAGTTTCTGGTAGCACTATTTGGGATTGCTTGCCATTTTCATTGCTTAAACCTTCTTGCCAGTCCTAATCAGATCAAATAAGGTGAGCGCAAAAAAAGAAAAAAAAAAAAAAGACTTTTTCACCTTTAAGTTTTGCATCTTGGGATTATATTTGGATTGCATTTTTCTAGTTTAAATTCTGTAAGTTTATGACTTTCTATTCCATTTCAATTAGTAATTTTGCCTTTTTCATTTCTTAATTTATTTGATCCTTTTGGTTTCCCACAACATTACTGCTCCACTGTTTCTTGGCATTTTTGTCGCATCTGGGATTGCTTTCTGTTTTGAGTTCGTTAGCTCCTGCTAGTATTGCAACCAGTTGTAAGATAACGGACTAGTTTTTCCTGGAAATAAAATAAAATCATTCTAATCGTTGTTACTCTACAAGGTATAGTGGAATTAGTAGTTGTATCATTTAATACTTCCTAAATTTTATATTGATACTTGTATAGAATTTTTCTTTTTAATATTCTTTATATCTTCAAAAAAATTTATAATCTAGAAGTTAAAATACAAAAAGTAAATTAAGTGTTAAAATTTAGTAATCATACAAGTATTAACATATAAAAGTTAGGAAGTATTAGAAGAAAAATTGTTTAAAAAAAATTCAAAAATTAAAAAATAAAACATGACAACAATACCCCTAAATCCAAAAGTATGTGAAAAATAACTTTTCGTCACTATTTAACCGCCAAAACTAACAGAATGATTTCGGATGGACTTTTAGCTTAGTATGATGACCGATTTTGGGAATAAATTTGATTGATGACCAGTGGTGAAATTACCCAATAATTTAATGACATGTTTTGTGGTTCACTCAAAAGTAAATATAATTGGAGAAAAATTTAATAATATAAAAGCTTTTGCTAAAGGAAGTGTTCAATGATACTACATATCATTGACTTAAAAATATTAATTTTCTACAACTCAAGCATTCAACTGTAGGCTTAATAGGATAGCCATAAAAATCATTGTATTTTCCTAAAGTATTTGACTATCCCAGCACCTAATAAAAACTTAGCATAATTTATTTGGGTACGATACCGTTCCATATTAAATTACACTAGCACTACAAGCTTCGATAATTTAGTTGAACAAAAACTAAAATAATAAAGAAAGCTGCAATAAATTTTTTGTCTTATTGATCACCTAGTTAAACTAATTATACAAAAAAAAAACTAATTATACACATATAATGTGTCACTACCAACATGCATAATCTGCTAATTGCTACATAAATGCCAAATGTTTGAGAAGATAGTGCATCACAAAAAACTTGGTAGCCGTAGAAAGAAATCACTTGATTAAATTGTCAGATTAATCAAGTGTTTACTCTTATAAAAAAAAATTAAATCAAAAGATATTTTAGTCAAAAAGTAGAAAAAGATAAAGTGAAACTTGTAGTCTCACATATAATATAAATAAAAAAAATTCTTGAACCAAATAAGACAGCTAGCCACTCGTGGTGACTAGAAATATATTTCAAGGTTTTGGAAAAAAAAAAACTAAAATAAAATAGAACGTCGGTAAATTAAGAATCTATAAATTAATAACTTCAAATAATTAACAATTTTCTCCACTCCAAACTTGAGACCAGTATAAAAAGTGGAAAAAAAATTGATAAATGATGAGATAATAATGTTTTAGAAAATCCCATGTCTATCTATAGGTCCTGATAATACCATAAATTAATAAATACCCAAAATAGAATAAATTAATAATAACTATAAACATTTATTAAAATATGAACTATCAATACTATTTTATTAGTCTCTCAAGATGATATGAATTATGTATGGCTTTTAGT